CTTGTGTTGTTGCTCCAACAGACTTGTTTATTTGGTGATTTAGTACTTGGTGTATGAGCTCGGTGGTTTCTTTATTTATAAAGCGGGGCGAAAGCCTATTTGGAGTGCTATACCTAGCTTCGCGACATTGAACCTGGTCTCGCTGCAAGCGTGCCCTCCCGACGCTACTAATGGGTCGCCCAAGTAGGTTCCCATATAGGTTTGTTTTTCTCCTTGGATTTTCATTCGTTTTTTCTTTTGTTTTGTTGATATTTTCAAAAATATTATATATGCATATATTTAATAACTTAAATTAAATTGAAAACCTGAATTTAAAAATGGTAACACATTATAAAAAAGTTGCGAGTGGAAGTTTAAAAAAAAGTATTGATAACATTCAACAAATGTTGATAACAATAAAGTATGTTTGTACATTACATTTAAGAAAATGTTCACATGTTTCCCAAAGTATGTTTGTGACATTAAAAAAGAATACACGAAGTAAAACAAATGTTCATATCATTCAAAACATGTTTATACTTGTATATGAAAAATGTTTTACACATATCCAAACAAATTTTCAAAAAATAAATTAAGAAAATGTTAATCATGTATTCAAAAAATGTTTTAGATTTATACAAAAAATGCACAATGTATATGAAAAAAATAGACATCAGTACATATATTTAAAAAGTGTTAATCATGTACTTGAAAATATTTAACATGTATAAAATATATTTCATGTGTATACAAAATATCTACAATGTGTAGGAAAAAAAAGTAGACATCAAAAGATACATTAGACGAAAATGTCAAACATGTATTTGGAAAATGTTAAACATGTATAAAAAATATTTTTGATGTATACAAAGAATTTACAACGAGTATGGGAAAAGGGTAAATATGTGTTGAAAAAAAGGGGGAAATAAAAAGGATAAAGAAACATAGAAAACAAAACAAAAAAGAAAAACCGTTGAAGACCAATACAAAAGCCAAAGAGAAAAGAACAGAAAAAGAAAAAAAATCCCGAAGAAAACCACTAAAATAAACGCAGAAAAAAAACTCGCTCAAAACTAGCAAGACCGGCTGAGCGAAAAACATAAAAAACCTGCCTGAAAGTTTCCCAAAACAAGTCTAGGAGCTCCCAGCAACCTTCCAAAAACCGCCCTCTCATGTAACGATAGATACTGCATGTCTTTGTTAATTGGCCGGCCCTTTTACAGGTTCGCTGAAGGCGAGACAGAACTCTGCCTTGCAACAGGCGAGATATAGCCGGCCTGCTTCCTCTCCCTGGAGCCAATCAAGTAAAAAGAAAAAGAAAAATCAATACAACACACTGTCAAAAAAACGAAATCACTAGTTAAGGGGCACCCCTTGCAAATGTCACACCTATCTTTTGATGAGCTGACAAGTGACAAACTACATGTGCACCTCTTATCGAAACCTAAGAGTTTTCTGTTTCTTTCGTAGATTGTTCTTTCTTTAAATGCTTTATCTTTTGAATCATACGTCCAAATCCCGAATCGTTTTCACCGTCGGCTCCGCGCATCATGATCTTCGGAACTAGATCCTTGTTAATAGTTTTTTTCTCGCAAAAAACCCGTAGTTAGAAACCAATTTTCCCCTACCTTTTCCCTTTCCGAGAGGCATAGTTATACTCATCACGGAAGCAAATCTGTGCCTACACAAAAAGCAAATTCATGCCTCTCATGGAACAAAAAAATGTATTTTTCCTTTCTGAGAGGCGTGCCTCGCGCGGAAGCAAATGTGTGCCTCCACGACCAACAAATCTGTGCCTCTCGTGGAACAAAAAAACACGTAGTTGTGCCTCTCGTGGAAACAAAAACATGTTTTTCTTCCTTTTTTATGTGCCTCTTGCGGAAGCAAACCTGTGCCTCCACAACAGGCAAATCTGTGCCTCTCATGAAAGCAAAAAAAACCGTGTTTTTTCCCTTTCGACATGCACAACTGTGGCTCTCGTGTAAGAAGAAAAAATCATGTTTCCTGTGCAAATTATTGCTGGAATATTTCCTCCAAAATCTAGGAAAAAACTAAAAGCCGCCCCCCACCCGCCAAAAAACTATATAAAATCCTAAAACACGTATAAAAAATAAAAAATGAAATACTAAAGGAGTGCCCAACTTGTGGGGCTCCCACAAGAGGTACCCTTAATTAGTTGATCTCCTAAAAGCCCAACAGACAAGATGAAAAAAGGCATCTTCATCCCTCCAGTCCAGCCCACACACCTACAAGCCATCACAACCCCTATAAAGGCCACTCTCTCCCCCAAAGTAACGAAAACACACATGTGGTGCATGCAAATCATAAAGCTACATGATCCAACAATTACGGGCGCAATTGAGACATAAATCAAATCTGAGGCGATTGAGATTTAGAGTAACTTCATTCATTTTAAGTTGTACTAGCTTTGAACATATTTATTTATTTTGTATCACAATATGTTCGTACATGATCAAATTTCGAAGCCCTCCTCAAACAAATCCAATAGCGAAGGCATGCCATAAATTAGATACATGATTAAACGTTTTTCTTTTATGCAATTTGTAAATGTAAATCCCGATGACATTTTTTTAGGACTGATGACATTTGACATTGTATATTCGGTCTCTTAGTGCATGCATGCAAATATATTTGGATCCCTCGCCGGCTCACTCCAAACACTATAGTTTGATCTTATCTTCTTTCATCGTTTCCGTTCAGCATTGCTCCACGGCGCGCGCGCGTGCTCACTCCGCTCTGACGAACGCCACGATCCTCTGGAGCAACTCCCTGGCCTTCTCCGTCGCAGGCTCGTACAGGTAGAACACGTGGCCGACCCCCTCCGACTCGAACAGCTCCACCGCCGGCTCGGGGCCCCTCGCCCGGGCCGCCGCATCCGCGTACGCCCTGCCGCGCCAACGCAAGAAGTCCCCCTCGGCGACGCACACCATCACCTTCTCGCACGCCAGGTTCTCCAGCCCCGGCGCGCCCTCCACGGTCGGGTTCATCCGGGGGTCGTCCGCGCCGTCCACTGCGTCGGGGCACACGAACTCCCACAGGCCCTTCTGCTCCACGCCCTCCGCGCGCCCCGGCCGGGGCTCTTCGCCGATGGTCTCCTTGCCCCAGAACCACGGGTGGATCAGGACGATCCCCTTGAGCCTTCCTGCGGCGCCCCTGAAGTCGTGGTGCATGGCGAGGTGGTGGCAGATGTTGCCGCCGGCGCTGTCTCCCGCGAGGAAAATGCGGGAGAGGTCGGCTCTCTCGGCGAGCCACGGGTCGGCGGCGGAGAGCACCCACTTGAGGGCCGCCAGGGAGTCCTCGTACGCCGCGGGGAGCAGGTGCTCCGGGGCGAGGCGGTAGTCGACGGAGACCGCGACGGCGGCGCAGGCCGCGGTGAGGTCGTTGAGGCAGCGGTGGTAAGCGGCCGACGCGGCCGACCCGATCACGAACCCCCCGCCGTGGAAGTACACGAGGACGGGGAGCTTCTTGCCGGCGCCGGCGCCCGTTTCGGGCGGGCGGTAGAGACGCACGAACGAGAAGGGCGAGAGCGACACGTCCTTGGACACGACGCCCGTTGCGGCGTCGTGGCCGGGCGGGACGGGCGGCATGGCGAGGGGCCGCTCGAGCCTGCCGCTCCTGTGGACCAGGAGGAGCGGAGAGAAGTCGTGGACGACCTCGTCGCCGGCGTCGGCGGTGGCCGCGGCGTTCTTTGCCATCGCCGACCTGTTCGGTGCGCGGCGGGCGTGCAACGTCAGGGACGTCCGGCGGCGTACGTGTAGTTCTGTGCTAGTATTACCGTATTTGTAGCGCATGCACTGGGAGTGGCAGAGCAGAGCTTGTGCTGGACTGTTGGTGTGTAGCTGAGTCACGAGCATTGTCCTCTTCCCCGGTTGGGTGGTAGATTGGTAGGAGTTTTGTGGTGGATCTTCGTTTTAGGGGTAGTTTGGTTTTCTATATAGGAAATCTCAACGACTAAAGAGGAGTCGGTAGGTTCGACTCATCTTTTCCCTCGTTTTCCGTTTCTTTTTCTCTCTTCATGCCTTCATCCGGTTTTGTAACATCTAAATGACTCGATTAAATTTAAAAAATGCCTAAAAAATACATGCATGAAACTTAGCGTAAAATCAACGACATAGATAGATGTGCAAGAGTACATCAAGATGTGCTTTAACAAAACTGTTTTTAATTGACTCTACCTATGGGACACAAAATCTATACTATTTTTTTAGGGGAGTGCTACGTGTAGATCCGCCGCCTGGCGTGCCGTGCGATCTAGATTGCTCAGCACACAATTCCTCTTTGCAACAAGAGTATTGTTTCAGAAACAACGGTGCTTTGTTTGAAAACATATCGATAACTATTGCAACATGAGCTTTGTTTCAGAAACATTGGTGCAGTTGCAAAAACATCTCTGCGTATGATCCCACTTTGCAACAAGAGCTTAGTTTCAGAAACAACTATTGCAACAAGGGCTTTGTTTCAGAGAAAATATCGCTCAGTGCTGGGATGGATCAGCAGGGACGGCTCCCCAACACTGACATCATTGATGGCGAGGCCATGCGCCGCGCTGCGCGCTGCAGGAACGATGACCGGGGCGTGAGGATCTGAAGTGCTGTCACCGAAGTCGGGTGGTGTCTTGGCGAGATGCAGGGCAGGAGAGATGTGAGTGGCAGGGCGGCCGACTGCCTAGCCGGCGACAAGTGAGGTGGTGAAAGAAAAGCGGAGGCATGGAAGTGGAGCGGCGAAGGCCTGCCTCGCCGCTGAATGACGGCTATTGGAGCAGACCGGTGGCGAGCACGTGCATACCTAGCCATGTAATCTGTTTGCAGCAAGTGTCGAGTTGCAGAAATGATTCTGAAACAAGGATGAAGTTGCAAGAACGTGAAGTAGGTGAAGGTGACGCCTCACCGTCCGATCAACAACAGATCGAATGCTCACAGAGACGGACGACGCGCGCGGAAAGATCCGCCGGATGACCACAAGCTTTTCCCATTTTTTAATAATAAAGAGACAAATGTTTTTGGCCGTCTGTCGTAATTGCCTTCAAAGTTGCCACAAATTACACTCAGCGCTACGGATAGGTGAAAAAACAATTCGTCCAGGAGACCTGGGTTCAATCCCACTTTCTCCCAATTTTCTCTTTGATTTCTCATCAGATGGGCTACGCAATATTGCAATTTTGGCCCAACAACTCTCTGTCTTTTTCTCTCAGAATTGTTAGCAGATGGGGTACACAATGTTGCAATTTCGGCCCAGCAGCTCTCTGTTTAACCATTCTTTTTCCAGACAGATTCAAATGCTTTCAAAATAGGGCGACGCTACACATTCGTCGGCCGATGTTTAGATTTTATCCCGTCGCCTCAACTGCTGTTGGATGTTCAAACTGATAGCCGTATGATCTAGTGTCTGCGTCTCGCATGCCCACTCGTTATTTCCGGCAACAAACGCTCTGTTGCGGAAACAACACTATTGGCCTCGGCCCCGACAGAGTTGCGCCTCGCGCGGCGCCGCCGCCAATCCACCGCAAAATCAGCCCGCCACCGGCGTGCAGGAACTAAATTGAAGTTTTTGCAACACTATGGTGCACCATGGTTGGATCTGACGCAAATCGAGCTCACTGAGGGGGCCTGCTTCGAGAACAGCCGCGGCCTCTACTCCAGCATGACGGAGACGAGCTCCCACGCTGGGCATTTCTTTGGCGATTTCTATAACTGAAGCTATGTTTCTGAAACATGCGTCGTGTTGCAATGCTTGGCCTCGTATGCTCTAACATCGTGTGCTCCTCCAACGCTTTCTGCAATCGGGGCTATGTTTCTGAAGCAAGACCCATGTTGCAGAAAAAAACTTCGCTGCCGAACCATTTTTTTTTCTGAAACAAGACATGTGTTGGAGAACTTTCTAAAACTAGACCCTATTGCTGAAACAAACTTCACCGCCGAATCTTTTTCTTATTTCTGAAACAAGATCTTTGTTGCAGAAACTGCCGATCTCTGAATCGTACCTGCTTGAGTCTTCGCTGGCCATCGCCGATCCCGAGCAAGTCGTTGTCGCCACTGGGGTGGATAAGGCCTCGTGGCCCCATGCCTTGCGTCGCCACGCCCGTCCACCAGCTCCCAAATCCATCCGTTCGCTCTCTAATCCAGATGAGCCTTGAAACCTCCCTACTGTTACCCAGTTGCGGGAATGACTGTCTTAAAACAACAAGTGAGTTGCAGGAAAACAGATGCGGTTTCCAGACGAGCCACGAAACCCCTCTAGTTTTGCCCAGTTGCAAGTCTGTCTTGAAACAACAGGTGAGTTGCAGGAAAACAGACACGGCTTGACGGACGCGGAGACTTTGTCGATCGTCTGATCAACACACGATCAAACGACCATGGAGTCGGCGGACGGGCGGGCATGATTATCAGCCGGCTGATGAGCAGTGTTTCCCTTTGTCCTTAGATTTCCCCCCTGAAGTCAACGGGAATGTTTATGGGGGGTGCTCTGCGTCCGCCGGCTGATCTTTTAAAAAGATCAGTCGGGTCACAAGTTGTCCGATCTAGCGCATCGAGCGGCCGAGCAATGCCCCGATAATTGCAACAAACGTCTTGTTGCATGGGTTTTTTCTGCAACAGAGGTCTTGTTGCAGATTTTTTTTGCAACATAGGCCTTGTTCCAGAATTTTTTTCCAACAGAGGCTTTATTACAGAATGTTTTTGCAACATCGGTCTTGTTATAGAATATTTTTGCAACTAAGATGATGTTGCATAATTTTTTTCCATCTTCACATTTTTTCTACATAGAAGTTGTTGAAGAAGGGACTTCTGCAACATAAGTGATGTTGCAGAAAATTGTAGAGGGGAAACAAGATGGCAGAAACACCACGTCGCAGTCGTTCGCGTTGCTGTTTTCAACTCTGTCGTTGCAATTGCAACAGGAGGTGGTCGGTGATGGTCACGGATGACGAGAGGAGGTCAAAGGTCATCGACGCCCGTGCCAAACAGAGTTGGATGCTCCCACGGCGGCCGACGGACCTATGACAAACGATGGCCGTGGTGTTGGCAGCCGACGATCGCCATCTGTAGTTGCAAGAATAGCTGCCCCGCCACAAGCCGGGGAGCACACCCGCCGCTGCTGGTGCATAACCACCTTGCGCTGTAGCTCGCAAGATCACCACCAGGTCTGTACCGAGCCGTGGTGAAGGAGCTACATGACATGAACGGATGTAGTCAATGGCTGCCCTGCTATGCAGTCAATTGCAGGAGCGTGAGGCGTAGTAGGTTGCGGTGGACAAGAGAGTGCTCGGGATAAGGAACAAGTGGTTGAGGTTGGATAAGGCAGAGGGGAATTGTGAGGAGCCATGGGTACCACATCACGTGAACACGTGTCATACCAGCGAAGCGGTGGACGAGAACCCAGCAATCAGTCGGGTGATTTAAATCATTTCCCTTCAAAATATGGGAGCCGCTACGCGTCCGCCGGTAGATGTCTAGTAAACATCCACCACCTCGACAGCCGTCAGATCTCCGCGCGCGAGCCGTTCGATCTAACTCCTCGCACGCCCGCGTCGCCTTCCCGACACATTAATTCCTGAAACAGCAAACCAGTTGTAGAAACATCGGTCGCGTTGCAGAAACAATTCCTAAAACAACAATCGCGTTGCAGAAACAATTCCTGAAACAACAATCGCGTTGCAGAAACAATTCCTAAAACAACGACTGCGTTGCAGAAACAACTACCATGCTGCAAAAATTTGGAGATTGCGAAAACAATTCCTAAAACAACGGCTGGGTTGCAGAAACAATTTCCGAAACAATGGCTGTGTTGTAGAAATAACTAGCATGTTGCATGCGTCAAGCACGTCGCCGCCGACCGCAACAGAGTAGTAGCGTCGCCACTTCGTGGCTGTTGGGGTTGTAGAAGCACCGTTGTTGCAGAAAACTTGTTGCAGGAAAACTGAGCTCGAGGAGGCGGCAGCCATGGCTGTCCATGCCGGTGCTCACCCGAGCAGCGGGACGACGACGGACGCGGATGCTGGTGCTCCGAGGATGGCAGACGCGGCTCGAGATCTTGTTTGAGATGCGGCGGAGGAGGAACTTGGGCAGGATGGAGGCAGGAGAAGAAGAGGAGGGGCATGGCTGATGGAGGCCTGGTTATCGGCATGCCCATCGGCGACGATACACTGGTTGGGGAGGGGCTGCGAGGTTAGAGGAGAGGGAGGAGAGAGGAAGAGGAGGAGATGAAGAAGAAGAGGAGGCGGGCGGGGCTTCTCACCGGTGAGGCGGCGGCGGAGCATGGCAATCGCTCGAGATCCAACAACGAAGATGAACGAGTAGAGCGAGAAGATAAGATGTGATGCAGTGGACCTTTCTGGAGATAAGAAGGTATGGCGTGGGGCTTAGAGGACACGTGTCCCGCGTAGAAGGAGGCAGATGGAACGCACCGATCCGTCGGTTGAACAGAAGCTTTTTCCTCAAAATATTCATATTTTCCTAATTCTAACTTCAAATCAAACATGTTATATATGAAAACCCTTCAAAAAAAATATGTGGATTACAACTACGTCATGACCGTGCATGTTAATCAATTCTAAAATTATGTTTAGTGTGCAACCTTAATTAGTACCTTCTTTATATGGGGTGTTTTGAAAAATCCTATTATATGTGTTTTCCACCCAATTTAAATTGAGTATATATGATAGTTTGATGCTCTCAAAAATTATTGATAACATAGGGGATGTTGATTCCTACCAGCTACCATATGCTAAAGATTACTGTACGTATATAATGATCCTCTCTATTTCACACATTGCATAATAACCAACGAAAGTACTAACGTTTACATGTGTGGCAGTTTTGCAACTCGCTCACACACGTGGATCACCGTCCACTCGAGT